AACGATAAATTAACCGAAATGCAGCACGGCGCTACTAACAGGGACAGATGTAACTAATATTAATGGCAAACTTTAAAATCGATACACTATTATGAGGGCAGCAATGGAAAATAGATGCTCTGTGTAAAAACACAGTATACTAATGCGGCGATAACATATGGGCTGCTGTATGTGTGCGTGATAAATAAATCACCTTCACTTCTCGTATCTGCACATAAAACAAAAATAATAGTTTTCAGAAAATCAGTACGTACATCGGTTGGTTAGCCTTCTGCAGCAGCATTTAAACTGGCAGAATCGAGACCAGTTTCGCCTTTACTGTGGCTCATCAGCATACTTCAGGCGTGCTAAATCAAATAGAGTTGGCTTATCAGATGTTATTGGTAAGTGGCTTCCATATACGCCATGGGTCGTCAGCGCAAAAACACGAATATTTAATAATAGTGCCATAGAGGACCATTTTGTGCAATTAATAATTATCCACCATCCGATTTAAAGCTTTCGTGACTGCAAGGATTCATCTTCTTTGGTTCTTTCGGCAAAGTCACGTATAATGAGAATAAAATAATAAATTAATAAAATAAAATAACAATACAATTCTCACGACGTTTCAGCCACAACACAAGTGTCTCGAGGACAGCGCTGTCCTCGAGACAGTCTCGTCCCTTCACCTGATGAAGGCCACTTGTGTTGTGGCTGAAACGTCGTGAGAATTTTATTGTGTTATTTTATTTATTAATTTATTATTTTATTCTCATTCTACGTGACTTTACCGAAAGAACCAAAGAAGATGTATCCACCATCCGTTCCTGATTCCTATATACACATTTTAAACATATTTTAGGCATATGCCCTTCCAAAAATATGCTACCCAACAGAATGCTTTAAAGCATCAACATTTTGGATGAGCCAGAGAAAGGGGAATGGGTTCCGTCTTTCTGTGGCTCATCAGCAGTGCCATGCGTGCTAAATAAAAATTCATGATTTATCAGCTGTTATTGATACAATAATTCACTCTCGACCATATATCGTCGACTGAATACTGGCTCTATGCAATTTACCAAAGCTGCCTTCAATAATCCATCACTAACTCCGATTTAATCATCTGTCGTAGTTGTTGGCACGAAGAAACTCGTTCGCATTACAAAACACATAAACACACAACATCTTGTTTTCATCTTACTCAGTAAATCGCTAAATGCAAGACCCGCTCTTGTCCGTGTGCAACAGCATCATTGCGTGTGTGTGAATCGTGTGTGTGAATCGTGTGTGTATGCTGATATTAATTAGCCGATAACAAGCAATTGGGCTGCAGCCTCAAGTCTTAATGTCTCCATAAGGAGCACTTGTATAGGCTACTGCATGTAGCACTCGAACAAGATTTGCACAAACATGCAGATCAACGTAGACATACACTTACATCATGACAAAGACAAAGATCACCCGTATTGCCTTAACAGACTGTCGGGGCAAGTGCTGTTCGCGAGCGCCTATGAAGGCCGGCACGACACACGAGGGGGTGGGTGATCAGCACCATGCACACATGCACCTACAGATAAGCCGCCTATTCTAAAACTCAGTGGGCTTTACCTGGTAAAATAAAATATATATATATAAATTTTGATTTAAAGCTTTCGTGACTGCAGTAATTCATATTCTTAGTTTTTTCGGTAAAGTCACGTTGAAGGGAAACAATAAAATAATAAAATATATATAAAACAATAAAAAATTCTCACGACGTTTCGACCATAACTCAAACGGTCGTCTTCAGGTGTGTTGGTTTGCATAAATTTATTTTTAAAAACGTCGTGATAATTTTTTATTGTTTTATATATATTTTATTATTTTGTTGTTTCCCTTCAACGTGACTTTACCGAAAAAAACTAAAAATATATATAGTTTAATCTTTGATCAAGTCTTCAGTCACCAATCACAATGCCATTGAATATGGTGAGGCACGATGATGCTTATGTTTCAATATATAATAGACGACGTTTTAGGCAATGATTCTTCTTCATGAAGTGCCATTTTAAGATCCCAATGTTATTGGCACATGTTGAGGGTTCGATTGTGCTTGTATGCATCACTACCAACGCAGCATCACCACGTCTTGAGCCATGCCCCATTCTTCTTAAAGAGACGTCAGCCTATTAACGATGACAGACTCGTCGTGATTGTTGGCTGAAGACATCATCCCTGACGGATGAATCATATATACACACACACACACATTGCACACTCAAATAACGAAACACAATTAAACCACTAGCTTTCAATGGGATGTTTTCGCTAACCTGCCAACAAACGTCCCTTCAGCCTCAGTTAGAATGCTGTTGAAGGGCAATTATCGGAAATAATCTTCTCATATTTTTTTGCAGCATGCTACTGCTGCTATCTTTCCAATAAAAACACAACTTTCTTGGCAGGTTAACACTTGAGATGTGACGCTTTTTTATGTACTTAGAATGTTAAAATGACATCGGCCAGAAGGGGATACAAAACAAATCTAAACACTGACCGCGGGCGTGCACATTCACGCTGCTGGAGTGGACTGAGCCAGCGCTGTGGGATCTGCGAAGCTTGCCCATGTATGTACGTGTGTTCGACTTCTTTCGCACCGTACGTAGCAAACCGTGATGATCGATTGCAATCGGCGACGTCTGTATTACAAGCCCAGTGTGGCTTATCCATTTACACACCACGGCAGCACCTGTGGGATATAATAATAATTGTTATTATTAACTCTGGCCAACTGACTAGCTCATCGCAGCACAAGCGTGGAAGTCATTTGAAGGCAAGACTGGTTACCGTTGTTGTTTTTGTTGTTGACAACACGTCGTGGCGTTCTCGTTTTAAACACGCGATTTTAACACAAGCAGTGACCACGCCACTACGAAGGGCTGCCCTTCTGTGCTATTCGGTCACGTTCAGTCGACCCTGCTCCCACGCAAGGCGTGGGGAATGTTGTCTTCCCCTGCTCCGCTTTCCTCCTCCTCCTCCTCCTCACGTGAAGAATAATAATAATAATGAACACAACTCATCACTAATTGGGGCTGAAAACATCTTACAAATAAAACACTGCGTAATGTAGCAGAAGCAGCAGCAGGTGGAGGACTCTCCCAAAATAAAATAAAAATCCGACTACTCAGTGTGGCTCTCCTGGATAGTTAAGTAAACTTCGTTCACATATGTGAAACCAACGTGTACTTTAAAAGTGTTATTTGCGATGTCACCTCTTTGCCGAAGGAAGTCTCGCCGAATTTCAAGGTTTCATTTTACGGAAGAGCCCTGCTACATTGCCATGTTTGACCAATTCATTTTAAATCAATAATTATTATAAAATGACTTAATTAAGCACGAAAGCCTCACTGCATTTCAATTCCTTTCTAATCAATTTCTAATTAATGTTTTGCACGTGGGAAACAAAAAAACCAGAGTGTCCAGAGAAAACTCCGCGAGTGGGTGATGGAGCTCCACACACAGACGGATTCATGAACCCACTTGCTGTGCTGACATCATTCAGCCACCTCGCAGACGAGCACGTTTATTGCTTAATCGATTAATATCGACCATCATAGCTCACGAAAGATGCATGTAATAATATAAATGTGAACACGTAATATAAACTAGTCAACATGTATCCTGCACATCTGTGTCTCCACGTAAACATGAAAGTAATTCTCAGACGGCCTTCTGGGAGCGCATTATTTCGGCAGCATTGATTCAAGGCAAGCAAAGTCTGCGCCGGTTTCGACACGCGGTGTCTCATCGCAGTCAGGCTCGCTTGAATCAATGCTGGTGAACTACCAGATGTTATTGGCAAGGACCCTCTCTCTAAGATACGGATCCTCATGCATTTTACGACAAAAGTAATGTGCAGCCCTCTTCAATCCACTGCTGGATGACGGAGGATTATTACGCCGTATCGGGCATAGGCGTTGCTTGACCATACTTCACCACACTGGTCTGTGCGGGTTGGTGAAGGCGATCGGGGAAGGGAAGGGTCCCAAGATCCGTTCAAATTCATCCGGACACAATATTTTCCGGAGCTTCGCCCCGGACAGCTCCGGCATGAAATAAACCCCTGCAGACAACCCCGGCACAAATCAAATAAAGTTCTTAGTTCGGCCCAGTTTGCTTTTCTGCTAATTAATTGTTGCTAGACGTAGCTGCCTGTGTGTGCGTGCGTGCGCTCCACGCGCCTTGTACAAAGTAAAGGCGAATTCTTCGGCGGTGCAAATTGGTGCCGATGCGATGACGGCACAGCGAGCAAAGTGATGTTTACAGCGAAGCAATTATTCTCCTGGAGAGTACGCGGGTAGCCCCCCCACCACAGGAGACGCACACAGTGTGGGCATGTGCTCTGCTCGTGCCCTGACAGAGAGCAGACGTGCCCTTGCACGCAATCGCTCGCCGCGCTCTCAATCGCCAATGTTTTTTTTAAGTCGTTATTTTGTATGTGTTTACAACTAGCACGGCCCTCCCTCTGTTGTTTTAGATCAGAAGGAACAAAAAAATGCTAGGTTATTCGGCACCTCCCGCCAGCCAGCGAGCAAAATTTGTATCGGCTATAGTATGATACTCCCGCCGCTCGCAAGGTGAGACTTGGCACGCCACGTGGAGGCGGTATATGTCAGTACACGTTGCTCAGGTCGAGAGAAGTCAGCGCTGCTCCCCTCTCTCCGTCCGCCTTTGCCTTCCCTCCTCTTATCCCCGCTTTCCTCGCTCGTCTCGCGTTACCCTCCCCTGTCATCGCTCGCCGCTCTTCTCGCTCTCTTCGCCTCTCTCCCTCTCTCGCTTTCCCCTGTTCATGCTCCCATCTCTGCGTCTCCCTTAACGGTGTTTGCTGCTGCTGCCCTCTCTAACCTCACCGCTTGCCTATGCCCACACCACTCCCCGCTCACCCCGTCTGCCCGCTCACCCCATATCCATGCTCACCCCTCACCCCCACAACACTCGCCTAGCCCCAGACCTCCCGTCCCCGACGCACTTTCACCAACCTCACTCCGTTGACAGCGGTGTGCACGCGGACTCCCCGCTGAGTCTCTTCGCCTCCGTTATTGTGCTATTTTTTGTTATTTACTCTTTAAAAAAAACGTTGAGTGCCAGCCCCGCGGTGATGGATGGCTCCGACTGCCGCCAGCTCCGCGCCTCCCGCTGGCCGAGACGGGCGCGGCCCCGGGGCGCGACTCCCGGAGGAGGAGAGACGCCTCGCCCCTCCTGCCTACATCCCTCTCTCTGTCTCTCTCTCCAACTACCTCCCTCTCCTATCTACCTACCTCTCTCTATCTCGCCCCCCTCCCCCCTCCGTCTCTCTCAACTGTTCTCTCCTCATCTTCCCATCCTCACGTCTCCCCTCTTCTCTCTTTCTCCCGCTCTCTCCCATCTGCCCATCCTTCTCTCTCGCCTCATTTGGTTTCGGTTCATTTATTTACATATTTTGCCCATCAGGCTGGAACTTCTGTTGTAATTTTCAACATTAAATCGTTCACCGTATATCACCTGGAGTTGTTGTTGTGTTTAATGCGCTGCACCATGACATACACAAACTGTGATGTCGGATTGACTACAATGCGTGTCTGTGCGCCGGGCCTACACGAGATAGGGCTATGGGATTTTTCCCTTCCCGAAAGAATAGGCTTGGGTGTTTTGGGGGTTTTGGATAGAGTGAGGGTTTTGATGAGGGCTCGTTTAGAGTCAGGGTTACGGTCGCGTCAGGGATAAAGTTACGAGCTATAGGATTGAAGTTTAAAATGTGGATTAGGGTTGGAACGAAGATTAGAGTCAGCATATGGTTAGAGTTAGGTCCGGGCTAGGGTTAGAGTTAGGTCCGGATTAGAGTAGCATTAGATTTAGGTCCGAGTTAGCGTTAGTGTAAGGTCCGGGTTAGGACCGGGTTCGGAGGCACATTATGAAAAGAGCGCCCGCATATCCACGGAGCGCGTGGCCTCCTTCTCCTCTCCCGCACGCCGCTCCCGAAAGGCCGCGACGTCTCCCGCTCATTGAGCGAGCGGAACTCGATCCTCTCTCGCTCTCTCTCTCTCATCCTCCTCCTCTAAGAACATCTCTCCCGATCCCTCTCCCACCTCTTCCCCGTTCTCTCCCACCCTCCCTCCTGTCTCCCCCTGTCTCTCGCTGTCTCTCTCTCTCTCTGTCCGTCTCTCCCGCGTGGCTCTGCGCCCTCGCGCCCCTTCGCGCTTCTTCCTCCATCATCGCAGTCCTGGAATCTGCGCGCGCGCGCATTTTGTTTCGGCTTCCATGGCAACGCTGAGAGCAGCAGCGGGAGGAGGAGGGGGTGATGCGAGAGGGGAGGGGAGAGGCGGTGGGTGGGAGTCGGGGGAGTGGGGGGAGGGGGTGGTGGGGGTGCACGGGAGGTGGTTGCAGGACGTGAATGAGCGGTGGGTGGGGGAGTGGGGGTGCGGTGAGGTGACGGCGCAGTAGCGGACCCCGTGTGCATATCCATGGCAACATGAGCGCCTCTGTTTGATAATGATGATGATGCAGATGATGCAGATGATGGTGATGATGATGATGATGATGACAGGAACGACGATGACACCACGTGTGAAGAAGCTCTTTTACGCACTCCTCTGATCTCTCCCCTGCCATCTTCCGCGGCTCATCCGCACGTCTCTATTGCTCGACTCGTCCATCCTCCTCTTCCCCGCTCTCTCTCTCTCTCTCTTTTCTATTCTCCCTCCTCCTCCTCCCTCCCTCCTCCTCCTCCCACCACCACCACATGCCCGCCTCGCCGCCATCTTTCGGGGCGGGTCCCACGGATGCGCCGTCACCACGCTGCCCGCTCCCCGCTCCGTCTCCCGCGCAGCGAGCGCCGCGCACTTCTCACGCAGCGCGCACGCACACGCACAGCCACACACGCACAGCCACACACGCACACACACACACAGCCAGCCAGCACCGCGCCGCCCTTTCTTAGCCTCCTGTCTCTTTGCCTGTCACACGAGCGAGGCCGGTCCCGGCGCAACTCCATCAGCACATCCCAGCCCAGCACGGTCCGGCACCCTCGTAGCAGCCACCCGAGCCGGTTTGGCGTGGCGTGGCGTGGCATCAAAACCCAGCCCGTGCCATCCCCCCCCCCACCCCGAGTCGCCACCGCCGTCGCCGCTAGCACCGCGCGCTGCGCGCGTCCACACGGAGCAGCTCCCGGCAGTCGCTGGTTTTTGTTGCGGTGCCTCCTGCAGTCCCCCCCGGGCTTCGGGAAGAGAACAACAACAACAAAAATCACCCGGAACGGGCGCACACGCCAACGTTACTACACCTGCTGCTGCTGCAAGTGAGTGTCTTATCCTCCCCACTGTGTGTGTGTACCTCCCCGCTCTCTCTCCTTGTGCACACTGAGAGAGAGAGAGCGCGCGCGATCTACGAGGTTTGATTTTGCCGGTTTCATTGTTAAGTCGGTCGCTCTTTCGCCAGACAGGTTGATCGTGCTGTTGTCGCTGCCGCTGCTGCTGTTATTGTTGTGCTGTGCGTGTTTAGGTGCTACTCGCTAACAGCACTTGCCCCAACAGTCTGTTAAGGCTATACAGGGGGCGGGGGGGGGGGGCGTCTTTGTCATTGTGTGCAGCATCGCTCTCGTGCGTTGTGCCGGCCTTCGTAGGTGCTACTCGCTAACAGCACTTGCCCCAACAGTCTGTTTCAGCCGACAGGCGGACGGGTCCGCGTGCTGCGCGCTGCGTGGCGAGCGATTCGTCCGCGTCGCTCCTCGGCGTTGCGCGCGTCGCCAGCGTCCGCTCCTCCTTCACTCGTGTTGAGCGAGCTCGTGAAGCGAGCATTTGCATTGGTGGAGAGGGGTGGGTGCCTGCTTTGTGGGGTTGGGTTGTTGGGGGCGGCGGTAGAGTGTGGATGAAGTGGTGACATCTGTGAAACTACCGGACGTTTGTGAAAAAGAGCTTTATAGCTCATCACGTTCCCCCAGTTAAAGGAAAAAATACATTTTTTATTCTCATTTTGTTGGGAGGGTTAGGGTTGCGGCGTTGTTTGGAGAATGAAATTTACGGACAGCGATCGCAGCGAGCGGAGGAGCTGAGCGCTTCCCGTCCCTTCATTGATGCCCTGACCACCAATCACTCACTGATTCACTCATTCACTCACTCACTCATTCACTCACGCATTCACTCACTCACTCAATCATTCACTCACTCATTCACTCACTCATCCATTCATTGACCAGTCTCGAGGCCGGGTCGCTTCCTGATTTGTCAATTGCGCACGTGTGGGATAGCAATTAAATGTAAAGAGTAGAACAGCAGCAGCATCAGTACTCGCAGCAGTAGCAGTAACGTCGCCAGTAAAAACACAAGCATTAGTACCAGCAGCAGTAGCAAACAGCACGAGCAGCAGTAACGTCACCTTTAATTTGTTGTCCTTCCCCCGCACCTCCGATGAGCGCGGTTAGCTACGTACGGTGCGAAAGAAGTTCAACAGATATATAAGTAACAGCGGCACCGACAACAGCACCAGCAGTAGCAGCACTAGCAGCAGCAGCACAAGCAGCAGCAACACCAGTAGACGTAGCACAAGCAGCAGCAACACCAGTAGAAGGAGCACAAGCAGTAGCAGTAGACGTAGCACAAGCAGCAGCAGTAGCAGCAACACCAGTAGAAGTAGCACAAGCAGTAGCAGTAGACGTAGCACAAGCAGCAGCAGTAGCAGTAGACGTAGCACAAGCAGCAGCAGTAGACGTAGCACAAGCAGCAACACCAGTAGAAGTGGCGCAAGCAGCAGCAACACCAGTAGAAGTGGCACAAGCAGCAGCAGCAGTAGAAGTGACACAAGTAGCAGCAACACCAGTAGACGTAGCACCACCAGCAGCAGCAGTAGAAGTGGCAACACCAGGAGAAGTGACACAAGCAGCAGCAACACTAGTAGAAGTGGCACAAGCAGCAGCAGCAGTAGAAGTGGCACAAGCAGCAGCAACACTAGTAGAAGTGGCACAAGCAGTAGCAACACCAGGAGAAGTGACACAAGCAGCAGCAACACTAGTAGAAGTGGCACAAGCAGCAGCAACACGAGTAGAAGTGGCACAAGCAGCAGCAACACTAGTAGAAGTGGCACAAGCAGTAGCAACACCAGGAGAAGTGACACAAGCAGCAGCAACACTAGTAGAAGTGGCACAAGCAGCAGCAACACGAGTAGAAGTGGCACAAGCAGCAGCAACACTAGTAGAAGTGGCACAAGCAGCAGCAACACTAGTAGAAGTAGCAACACCAGGAGAAGTGACACAAGCAACAGCAACACTAGTAGAAGTGGCACAAGCAGCAGCAGCAGTAGAAGTGACACAAGCAGCAGCAACACGAGTAGAAGTGACACAAGCAGCAGCAACACTAGTAAAAGTGGCACAAGCAGCAGCAGCAGTAGAAGTGGCAACACCAGTAGAAGTGGCACAAGCAGCAGCAGCACTAGAAGTGGCAACACCAGTAGAAGTAACACAAGCAGCAACAATACCAATAGAAGTGACACAAGCCGCAGCAACACCAGTAGACGTAGCACAAGCAGCAGCAGTAGAAGTGGCAACACCAGTAGAAGTGACACAAGTAGCAGCAGCAGTAGAAGTGGCACAAGCAGCAGCAGCAGTCAAGTTTACCGCGTGCGCGCGCCCCGTGATTGTGATCCCGTCTCTGTCGCTTTTGCACCAAACGTTCTGCCTTTCCGAACTCGCGTTGTGAAGGTCACGAGTTCCGGGACCAGAGATGCCTCGCGCGCGTGTGCGCACCACGAGAGGCGACGCGACTTTGAGCGGCGCCAATTTCCCGACGTGGCCAAATGAGCGGCGATCGTGCGATAGCCATTCGCAATGAGTGCGGGTTATTATCTGGTAATTAATTCACTGGCAATGGCCGCGCTAATAAATCGGTACGAATAAAGTTTGGCTACTTTGGGTGGTACCGATTTTTGACCGGTGGATTATGCGCGGGGCACGTGTGTTCGTGTGTGTTCGTGTGTGTGTGTTCGTCTGTGTGTGTTCGTCTGTACGTTCATTGTGTGGGTGTTCGATTCAGTGCGTGTGTAAATGTATTGAACTATGTGTGTGTTCATGTGTGTGTGTTCGTGTGTGTGTGTGTGTTCGTGTGTGTGTTCGTGTGTGTGTTCGTGTGTGTGTGTTTGTGTGTGTGTTTGTGTGTTCGTGTGTGTGTGTGTTCGTGTGTGCGTAGTGGGGAGCGGTAGTGTAGCGGTTAGCGCGCTGCGCTATGAACCCAGCAACCCGGGATCGATTCCCAATCACGGCCAACACCAGTGACGATTATCTGAACCGGTCCTCGGCCTCCCCTAGGTCGACTCAGCCTCAAATAAGTACCTGATGCGGTGTGTAAACATCGCCACTGGGGAGACAAAGGCGGCCGAGCGTGGTGCTCGCCACCCACCCCCTCGTGCACGGCGCCGCCTTTCATTGGAGGTGCTCGCTAACGGCACTTGCCCCAACAGTCTGTAACAGGCTATCTGGCGGCTCTTTGCCTGTGTTATCACCCATCGTGTGTTTTCGCGGTTCAATTTACACCTCGACCTTCTAAGTTTCCAAGCCCTGATTGTGGGCACTTGAATGCGGACTTTGCATGAGAAGTCAATGTGATGGGAGCGACATGGCCTTCTCACGCCGTGTGGGTTTTATCCTGGGGGCAGGGAGGTGGGGGGGGGGGGGGTTGGGAGATGACCATACTTCACCACTCTGGTCAGTACGGGTATCCGGGTGACCCAGGGCGTTCGCCTCTGATGGTTGTCTCGACTCGCCAGCTTCAGAACGCGAGTGTGCTAAACGCTGCGCTACCGCTCTTGCTTTGATGTCTTATGCGTATTTTATTGTGTGTGTGTGTACGCGTGTATGTGTGTGTGTGGTACAGCGCTTCTATTATGAGCTCTATTCATCTCTTGAGTTTACAAATCTCAGTTGTGAAACATCGTGTTCCTGCGGTTTTTTTTGTATGTGCGACTCGTGTGAGTGCGTGTTTACCTGTGTGTCTGTGTGTGCATGTATGATGTGTGCATGTGTTTTATGTGTGTGTCTGTGTGTGCATGTATGATGTGTGCATGTGTTTATGTGTGTGTCTGTGCATGTATGATGTGTGCATGTGTTTATGTGTGTGTCTGTGCATGGATGATGTGTGCATGTGTCTATGTGTCTGTCTGTGCATGTATGATGTGTGAATGTGTTTTATATGTGTGTCTGTGTGCATGTATGATGTGTGCATGTGTTTATGTGTGTCTGTGCATGGATGATGTGTGCATGTGTCTATGTGTCTGTCTGTGCATGTATGATGTGTGCATGTATGATGTGTGCATGTGTTTTATGTGTGTGTCTGTGTGCATGTATGATGTGTGCATGTGTTTTATTTGTGTGTCTGTGTGCATGCATGATGTGTGCATGTGTTTATTTGTGTCTATGCATGTATATTGTGTGCATGTGTTTATGTGTGTTTATGCGTGGGATTCTGTGTTCCTGTTAAATTTGTATGATACTGTGTGTGTGTTGTTTGTGCATGTACGCGTTTGTCTTTTGTGTGTATGTTTATGGTTTTGTTTTGTCTTTGTGTCTATGTATGTGTGATGATGTGTGTGTGTGCGTGTGTATGATGATGTGTGTGTGTGCGTGTGTATGATGATGTGTGTGTGTGCGTGTGTATGATGATGTGTGTATGTGTTCGTGTGTATGATGCTGTGTATGTGTGTGCGTGTATATGATTCTGTGTGTATGTGTGTGCGTGTGTATGATTATGTGTGTGCGTGTGTGATTCTGTGTGTATGTGTGTGCTTGTGTCTGATTCTGTGTATATGATTCTGTATGTGTGTGTGTGTGATTCTGTGTGTATGTGTGTGCGTTAGTTGGCTTTTAGTGCTTGCTCGATAAAGCATTCAGTGATGTGCGCCTTATGATGTTTCATGTGAGAATGTGTGTCTGTAAGCATGTATGCGTGTGTGTATCTGAATTTGTCTCTATGTATGTGACTGTGTTGTATGTGTCTGTGTATGTTCTATGTGTATGTGTGTTGTATGTGTCTGTATGTATGCATCTGTGTGTTTTATGTGTCTGTGTGTATGTGTAGTGCTCGCCACCCACCCTCTCGTGTGCCGTGCTGGCCTTCATAGGTCCTACTCGCTAAAAGCACTTGCCTAACACTCTGTTAAAGCTATACGGGGGATCTTTGTATTTTATATATGCGTGTATGTATGTTGTGTGTATGTATATTTGAGTGTGTGTGTGTATATATATTGTGTGTATTTTTCATTGTGACTATTACTAGCGCTAGATCACTCTCCACCGAACATCATCATCATCGCAAT